ATGAAGCCCAATAGGGATGTGCTCATAGACAAAGTTGTGCTCCCCCTCGCTCTGACTTACATTAAAAAAAATGTTTGACCCATAAACAATCCACAGTGTTTGTTCCGATTGAATTTTATGAAGATTTTTGTATGCATGCTTTTACCTTTTTACTCTTTCAACTTGATTGCACCTTGAGCAAAATAACATTGCTAGTTTGTAACCTTAACCTTTACCCTAACCCCTTAAACTTAAATTTAAAATCTGGAACAGTCTTCCTGAAGATGTGAGACAGGCCTCCTCTCTGACAATGTTTAAAACCAGGTTAAAGACAGTTCTGTTTAGCTGTGCATACAACTGAGGGATTTTATATTTTTATCTTTCTTTTTAATGTTCTGTGATTATTTATGATTTTAATGCTTTCTTGTTTTGTTCAGCACTTTGAGTTGCCTTGTGTATGAATTGTGCTATATAAATAAACTTGCCTTGCCTTGCCTTGCCTTAAACTAGCAATACAAATTATTCTGATTCGGAAAGAGTATAATATTGAGAATCAAAAAAAGACTGCATTGTGCTGTTCTGTAATTTGTGTACTTGTAAGAAAGAGCCCAGACGTTGAGAGCTGATTGGATGAGTGAGGGTGGTCCTTTCTGTGTCACTTTTATGCCTGAGAAAGCCTACAACATGTGAAAACTCGTGATAGAAGCAAACCGTTTCAGAACCAGGAACAAATTATCTGCATTTCATCACATATTTAATTTCATTATGGTTTAAAAGTTTGGAAGCCAAGTATAAAACTACCTCCACCTTTTCAAAATCAAATCACCAAGTTTATGGTTCTTATATTTACTCCTGAATGTCAGCACAACCTCTGTCCATCTTTTGTGTTCTCCCCAGCTCCAGCAAATGAAGTCTGAGTCATGCGTGTTGGAGCGCCGAGCCCGTCCCAAGTGCCTTGTCCCGCACCGAGCCGAGGGGCGAGCGCCACGATGATGTTATGGGAGCCGTTTTATACAAGCGCTGTACGAGGACCTCACTTCTGAAACGCCATGAATTATTCAACCCGCACCTGCGCCTTTGGACAACCTCTGTATTTTTTTTAGGGAAAGCGTGATATTGCTTTAGAATCCAAATTTTAAAGGAAAAAGATTAAACGCTTGTGGGCCTGCCTTTTGTTTTCTTTCTATTTTTTTTTTTTTTTACAGTCACCTCAAAGTGCGCAGCGTTGCCAGACACTTGTCCTCTGAGAGCTGTTGAAATTCACTGCAGGCCTGTCAGCTCCCATAGCAGTGCCATACACACACACTTCCCCTAAACTAAGATGAAAAGTCACGTTGCCAGGTCTGCCCCGGTGCCAGGTTTCTCTCACTATAATGTGCGGGCTGCGAAAACTTAAAGACCACCAGGGAAGTGAGTGTTGAAAATAAGAAGTTTGCAGATTTACAGACGTGTCGGCCGGTTGCCAGAGCGGGAGAATCTACACGGTGACAAAGCCGCAGGTAACGGTATATTTATACGAATGTAAAGTGATTTTCCACAAACGTTTAATTTTTCTTTCAGCTTGTAGCTCGGGGAAGCATCGGCAGAGCTGCGGACAGGTGAAAAGGCGAAAGAAATATGAATAGATGAAAGAATAAACTCAGAAGCCAATTCGCAGCAGTCGATGTGAGACCATGGGGAGAATATTTTGAAAACAATATGATGTATATTGGCAAATACAGTTTGTACTTTATCATCCTAGAATCAGCAATTTTTTTTAATGATTCTTACCTTTACTTTTTGTGTATAGCATCACATATTTCATTTCCCAGCATGCTTGTGTATATTGCATATTGTGTTTTTGTGCAAAATACTTTTTCTGTTTATTTTAGCGTGTTATTAACATCAGTGGCAGAAATTTGAAGTAAATATTATCAATGTAATATTTGACCATGTTGATTTGTACGAATGAAATCAATAGATTTAGCTCCAAATCGCAACAACACTTAACTGGCAGAGAACAAAATTGTTGAAATAAAAAATTCAAATCATGAAACATTTGTTGATCCATAAAGATGAGATTATAACATTTTAACCAATGTAGTCAACTTTAACATCAAGCTGGACAGAATGAAACAATGGCCTGTTTCTTTTGTCCATGCGGCACAGGGGCACAGCAAGAAGGTCCTGGGTTCGATTCTACCTCCAGACAGGGCCTTTCTGTGCGGAGTTTGCATGTTCTCCATGTGTCTTCGTAGGTTTCCACTGGGTGCTCCGGTTTCCCCTGGGAGTGAGGCTTTGATGCACCTGTCATCACCGGGATTGGAGTGAATGGAAAGATATTGGTGCTCCATTAGTGTGAGGCGCTTTGTGTGACCTGGGTCTGCTGAAATGTGCTATATAGATACATTTGACTTACTTACTTACACCTGTTGCCTATAGACATTTCTACATTTGGTTTGTCCCGACATAAAGAGTCCATCCATCCATCCATTTTCTACCCTTTAATCCATTTCTGGGTCAGGGGGGTGGCAATCAGAGATGCCACCCAAGTCTCATAGCACCAGCCCCTCACTGACCCTCTGCAGGTGGTGAGTCCACAGGAGGACGGCTGCTCTCTGAGTGTGAGCATAGCCTTGATCTTTCAGTGGGGGCTTTGGGCAAAGTGGGGTTAAGTGTCTTGCCCAAGGACACAACTACAGCAGTCATCAGTGGGAGTCGGTGGAGAAGGTGTAGAGGCGGGAATTGAACCCACGACCTTCTGGCCTTAAGGCCAATGCTCTACCAACTGAGCTACTGTCGCCCCTGACATAAAGAGTCTTGTAGAAGAAAAGATTTCAGATCACAACATGGGACTTGTTTAGTTTGTGAATCACTATTGGATGCTGATTGGCTGAGAGCTGATTGGCTGCGAACTGATCGGCTGATAGCTGATTGGCTGAGCTGGTGGTCGTCTTTCTCAATTTTTTCATCTACAAAAAGCTGATCCAAAGAAGTGACAAAAATACAAGCACGTCAAAACCGGTGATAAGTATTTTGAGGGCCAGGAACAAGTTCGATGGATTGTGTTACATATTGTGTTCCATTTGTTGTGGTTTGTTGACGTTCCGTACCCCGGCTTTAAGCACCTTGGCCCGACAAGACAAACTCTATGGAAGTATTTAAGCTGTTTCCAAAGTCCGGAAGAATCAAAGTGCTCTGACTGCACAAACATCAAAAGGCAGTCACATCTTCAATTAAGATTAAGAAGCTCTCCATCCCAATAGTCCCTGTCTCTTTACTCAAGACATATCCAGAAAATATAAGGTTACTCAGGCTAAAGCTCCCAGCCATGGAACACATTTACCCCCATATGTATCCACTCTCTGGCATTAAGTACTCTTACGTCCTACTGAATTAGAGGACATATTTGGTAGAAAAAGCGACTCCTGGCCAGTAAGTCTGAATAAGGCTCAATATTAGATTTGTGGCAAAGGGGGCTGCCTATAATAAGTGCTCTCTTGATGGTTGAGTAATTCAATTTGGGGACTAAAGCAGCTGGCCAGCCTGTTCATCATGGTTTTATTATATATTTGAGATTCTAAAATATTCTTTATCTTGAACAATCCGTGGACAATAGAAAGTAATAGAGCATTTGATCAGGGACAATGCAGTTTTGACTCGTTGCCACCAAAGACATTAAATTGAGTAGATTGTGGGGGAAGCTTATATAAGGTTGTTTTTATATGCCATACGGTAACAGCAGATGAGGTCTTACAGAAACCATGCTGTGTGCAGAGGTTTTATGTATGAAAATGAATAAAGTTTGACTCAGATAATGTCAACATATGTAACAAATTTAAGTTCATGTTGGTTCATTCAAGTTCATTCAAAGCCGGGTTAGCTAACTTTCAGACTAGCCCTTCACTCCGATTTTTGGCCTCTGTCACATCTTAAGATTTTTCAGACAGAAATGTTTAAATTATAGGTTCCTTCTCACTCACCTGTTCAGCTCTCAGCCCAAATAGCGTCAAACAGTGACTCACAAGGCTCGTTCTTACACGTTTGCAGAAGAAAACATGTTTTTCCAATAAAAATATTTTACATATTTGGGGCTCTGTTTGTCGGGACAGACAATAGGTATTATTTATGAAACAGTTAGATACGCTATTTTTTTACGCAGACTTCTTTGTGCTTCTTGTATTTTTTTTAAAACGTTCTAGGGATTATAACGCTGATGTACCTGTAAATATGCCGAATAATTAGTGATAATTATTCTGCTCAAGCAAACATTATTGTGTACTGGCTGGAATACGTTGTGGTCATGGTCTACAATTATATTTCAGTTAGGCTGGTGCCAACACAACTCAATGGGAAAGATCTAGCCATTTTGCAAAGAATGATCAAAAGCAAACTGTTTTAAAACGTTCAAAAGGATGAGATGGACAAAGCCGCCTTTTAAATGTTTTGACTGAAAGCCATTTGTCCTTTCTACTGGTCAACAGCATGCATATGTTTTGAATATTGGCAGCACTTCTAGTCACCTTTATTAGACAAAAATTAGGGTTTTTTTTCATGTGGATTGGTCCAGGAATTACAATGAGGCACGCTATAGACATTATTCAACTGCTTTTCCACAAGTTTAAATGATAGGCCCTTTGGAATGTTGTGATGTCACATGAACACCATCCAGAAAGCGTCCTTCAACTTAGTCTATATTCCCACCTATATCTTTTGAAATTGGATTCTCTGTTACCATATACGGCTGATACAAAACTACATTTCGAAGTCTGTATCCTTCTCGTATCAGGTCACGAAGCTCATGTTGTCACTGTTAAACTAATCCCCGCTCACATTATCACACCCAGCCTCCTGCGCCACTCTGCACTTCTGATTCCCCGCTCCGGGCGCTGTGCTGCGGCCGTGATCGAAATGATTCCTGACTTTCCCATGCATTACAAAGCCTCGCAAATATGTCCACAGAATTCTCCCGCTTGTAGTTTCTCCCAGCCGACATTCCTCTCGTACTGGTCCGTTATGCTACAGTACTTGTCACTCCGCTTTCATTTTCTCTCATCCGGCTTGCCCTCGGAAAAGTCCACTAGTTGAGGTGATTTAGTGAGTGCGGGGTCTGTCCTGATCTCTGGACTTTGCAGACAGCAGTGGCAGTAAAACACCCAGAGCACATGCGGCCCACCTCCCTCACTAATGAAGGCCATAAAGCAGCGAGTTTGACAAGCAGCGAACACAGCTGAGAGCCCCAGGGCGCGTTTAATCCAGTCTCCAGAGGGGGGCGCAACCGCTGTGGGACGGGACACCAGGACGGGCCCACATACATCAGGAGAACCGCAGAGCCCGAAGCAGGTTCGGTTTGGAGAGGGTCCCAGAGGTCCACAGCGCTGCAGGTGCATGGGGGTGTCATGGCGGACGGGGTCAAACTCAAGCTGCACTCTTCAAATGTTTCGGTTTAGTTCAGTCGGAGGCGGGTTGGAGATGCAGAGGTTATGTCACAGTGAATGCTACTATCTGAAGCCAAATGTGCGTCTCATTTGATGCTTTGTAAATTACTCATAGTTCAATTTGTCGTGCATTGGGGCGACACAGTGGTAGTAGTTAGTTCACTCCCTTCTCCGCAAGAAGAGTTTGCATGTTCTCCCCGTCTCTGCAAGGTTTTTTGGTTTCCGCTACTACTAAAAACGTCTCCAATTGGTAAAATTCTTAACTTAAAGGAGTATGTAAACATCTGGCCAAAAGTGGTACGGTAACCTCTCCCACTCTCCATGACTCAGGTTGCCAGATATGCAGACGAATCCAGCTGGAACCATGATAATTAATTTAACTGAATAGACAAGAGTATTGTCAACAACAAATCCATTATCAACACCTTTTTCACAAAGAAGTCCTTGTTTTATTCATTTTTTGTTATTAATGATTTGAGAATCATAACGACAACTTTTTAGTTCTGCGGCCATATGTTACTTCAGCGTGGAGATTAGCTCCACGCTGTGAGTTTTGGCAGAGCGGGAAATTGAAATGAAAACAATAATAAGATTTAGGGGCTGTAAAACTAATTTTCAAAATCAAAATCTCGGCCTGTTATACTGTTATTAGTTAAAGAAGAATTGTAAAAGAGCATGGTTTATTAATGCCTTTTGACAGATTAGGGCCATTTAATGATGACTTGAAATGAAAATCTTACATATTGCTACTTTAAGGATAAGGATAAAATTTTATTGATCTCACAGTAGAGAGTTGCTTTTGCCATAAATAGGATCACTCAGGGTGTGCAAAAAGACAGGAAATGTGCAAATGTGTTAAAATAGTGAAAATAACATTACAATTAAACAATTAAGTTAACAATTACAGTTAAAAAGTGACAATAGCAGAGCAAACAGATTGTGTCAGCAGACATTACCCTGTTCTTCGGTTAGCATCATATTCTGCTTTTCCCTGCAGCTACACTTCGAACCTATCCTTCAAACCACAAAAATGAAACTGCAGTAAAATCCATTTGAAACAATTGCTCAAAACTATCACTACTATCTATGACTAGAGCACAATCACAGGATGACGTCACATATCACAGCAACACGACCTCCGACTCGTCACCACGGGGGGTAGAGCACTCAGCCGCTCTGCTCCCCAGCTCTGGAACTCACTCCCCCACGACCTCTGCAACACTGACTCTCTTCAACTCATCAAATCCAGGCTCAAAACTCACCTTTACAGACTTTCTTTCCCCACCAAAAGACCAGTCACATGACCAGTCACATGACCAGTCACCCCAACACCTTCGTCCAGTTCTATCGCTATCTGTTTTTATTAAAGCTAATGTTTAGTGCTCTCTGTTTTAACCATTTTTGTACAGCATTCTTGGGTGTTTTTAAAGGCGCTATATTGTGTTATTATAATAGTTATTATTATTATTAACCCAGAAAAAGATCAACTAAATCTATTTGTTTTTTCATTGATTTGCTTTTTTTTATCGAACACAAACATTCACTAATAATGACTTGAGCCTGATGTGGACCATGCCTGTTTGTCTGTTTTCAAACCCTATTGTGAAATATTACTTTTATCTCAGAAGTGTATGTATGAATTATAGACAGTGCATTCTCCTCCCGCTGCAAACAACAGAGCAACAACAGCCTCCGACGTGTAGAACTTATTAAAACCGAGCGAGTCTGGACCGTCACTGTTCTGCATCAAACGCCAAGAGCAGCAGCACGTGAAGCATTTTGGAAAATCGCCGCTGCAGCCGCAACGCTACAACAGATTTATCAACATCATATGGTGCGAGAAATCATTTAGTGAAAGAGAGAATTCCAGGGACATGTGTGGAAGTACTTGAAGTCGCGTCCTGCCAACCAGAGGCTTTCGCGCAATGACTCCCTGTGCTTGTGTTTTCCCCCAGATCTCAAGAAGGAAAATAAAATGTTAACTTGGCGTCGGATTAAGCAAACGGGGATCAAGCTATGCATCATTATTGAAAGTACATCTGCGCCATCAGCTCCTCAGAGATTTACGTGCAAAAAGACGATATGAAAGATATGGAGCGCTTTTTAAAAGAGTTTTGAGGGTTTCTGAATACATGTGTAAATGATGATCATGCACGATCATTGTAAGCTGGAAGCACGGTGGCTGAGTGGTTAGCAAGAGTTCGAATCCACCATGATGCATTCTGGATGTCAATTTGTATATAGCACATTTACAGGTTTTGTAGATAGATAGATAGATACCTTATTGATCCCCTTAAGAGAAATGCAGGTGTCCAGAAGTAGCAAAAATAAGAAATACAATTGATCATTCTAAGAAGCTAACAATAGTAATAATAAGCAACAGCCCTTCAGGTCACGGCGGCAGAGGTGGAGTAGCCTCTGTGAAATCATGTGTCATCGGATCTGAAAACAGCAAATACAAACACTGGATCAAGGAGGCCGTTGAAATCAGAAAGCACCATCAACCGGGATGAGGGAGCCTACCTGTTGTCGCACACATGGGACACCCTCCTCCACAAATGACATGCCACAAAGGCGGGTGATCGTTCTGAAGATGACAAAATATGTTAATGCGGTAATACATCTAACTTGTCTTTCAAAAGAACCACAAAAGGCATTTTATAACTCAAGACCAAATTAACCTTTTTGAATGAATTACATTGACCATCCTTTCATGTTATGAGAGATACAGACAGGGTCAAATGTCACAGTGTTTCTCTAGAAGCGTGTGACTGTGGTCCCAAAAGGAAGCGTTTAACTTTGAAATGTTTTTTCTGGCGTCTCAGCGGAGGGATGAGGTTTCGACACGACAGCCCTCTTGGATCAGGCCGTGTTGTTACTCACAGGAGGACGCGTGTTTTCTATGGACCAAATATGACGAGATCTTGTGGCAGATTCCTTCTCTGTTTGAAGGCAGAAAGTCTGATCTTGCACTTTAGTTATCTGCTAATTTGGCTAATGTTTATACAAAAATCAAACGTATCATGCGGGAGATAACAAAACACTGAAATCACTATTGTGGTTTGTGTAATTGAGCTAATTTTGTCAAGCGGGCGTTAGGTCATTATGCTAAAACACGCCTATGGGTAATGAAACATTTCTGCAAATATTTTGATTGCTGCTGGCTTGAAAGCAAAAGCATCCTCCCTGAAGATATAGTGGACTTTGGAGACGCATTCGAGTTTTTATCTACAAGAAAACTGTAACAATTTATTTGAAAAGGAGTTTTAACATATCTTTTCAACTCTTTTGGAAAAAAAAAACACAATACGTTATCAAACATTTTTCCCAAAGTGCTTCAGAGAGAGCTTTAATATTTCATTTGAAGACAGCTAGAAATGTAATAATATTCTGTGATCTGAGGAAAACACTTATCTAATGCTTTTTTTCTAGTTATAAGTAAATAGTCAGCTAAATATTGTCACTTTGAAGCCATGCATTCTTGTAATATAGGCAGAATATTCTAAGGAAAATGTGTATATGAAAACACTTCAAAAACAATTATCATAATATAATGCTGAATTCCGAATTCATTACATTACAAATTACTTTTGAATGCTTTGTTTCATTCATTCATTCGAGCAGAAAAAGTTACGGTCATAAATCATCATCATATATTTCCTACTGTACACATACCTACACATACAGTACATAATCATATAGACATGCATAAGCAATATTGAACAGTTTCTCCATGTCTCACATCATTTAAAAACATGATTACAACTTGTATTTACAAATGTACGTCTGTGCTTCTAGATCATGTGCAACTAAAGCTCTTTTTCCTGTTCTTAAATACCACATGTAGCTTGTCCCAACAAAAACTCTTGTAAACGTGTTATGTCAGACCACAGAATGGACTTTTTGATCACTTTTTTCAGTGTTTGTGTCTGTTCAGTTGATCGGCTGTCTCGCCCCCAAATGTGTGTCCCTAAACCCTGTGCTCCTTTCCCCTTTGTTGTTGTTCCATTGTGCTTCTGCCATTGTTTGGTTTTAGTTTGGACTTCTGTTACATCCTGGATTTGGTTTTTTTGAGTCCTTCTTCGCTTTTTCTTCTCTGTTTTCACCACGTACCATTATCTAATACATACGGGTAAGAAATAGCTCTGAAGTCACTGATTGACGCTTTGGGATGAGAGTTGGCTGAGCGAGATGGCGGCACGGCGGCTGAGTGGTTAGTACTCTTGCCTCTCAGCAAGAAGGTCCTGGGTTCGAATCTCGGTCGGAACAGGGACTTTTTGCATGTTCTCCCCGTGCCTGCATGGGTTTCCTCCGGGTATCCCTACCACTAAAAACATGCTCACTAAATCCTCCAGCTCCGGTAGTCCTGACCAAGCAGAGTTGGAGATGGGTTCCCGGGCGCTGTTACTACGGCAACCAGTGCTCCTGACCTAAGCCTTTGCGGCATCAGGATGGGTCAAATGCAGAGGATTGAATCGCCCTACGGGGATCAATAAAGAGCACCTTTACCTTACGAGTCTCCTTTTGTTCACTTTTCCATCTACAAAAGCGGATCTAAAGATGTGACAGAGGCCAGAGAAACGAATGGAAACTAGTGAAGAACTGGTTGTAAGAAAGACACATAGTTCAAAAGTCAGGTACACCAGCTTTAAATGTTGATTATATGCTGATGTCTGTCTGATGTTGAGTTTCACATTGTCCTGGCCAAATGCACATCTAGACGAAATGTATGAATGACTTAACCATATGATTTCCCCCATTAGTTTCACTCTGCCTATTGTAAAAGCAGGTAGATGGCTCATTTAACCGTTTATATTAAAAGGAAAGACCCCAGGCTTTTTTGGCTGCAGATTTTTAGTCGGAAAACATTCAGGGAAACATTTTACAGACTTGTCCTCCACTTAGCAGACCAATAACATTTCAGCAAATCTGAATTAGCGTTGTTTTGAAAC